GTATTCTCCCTGTATAAGAACGTTGTACAATCAATAGAATTATTTATTCCGGCACAATATCTTCTATAACAATTTTACAAAAACAAATATGGGACCGTTTTTGACAGAATATTTAATCACTTCCTGCTAAGAATCCAATAATTCTGTGTGACTGTTTTTTTTCTTCCAATTGTTGGACTTGTATTTTGGTGTCTTTGATTTTTCTTTCTTCAAGGGCTTTTTTCTTTCTTTTTCGCCATTCAATTTTTCTGTGAGATTTTCCCAACCCTTTAATGAGATTTTGACTGCTGTTAGCTTAGATTGTTAAAGTACCAAACTCCGTAGCTAAATGTCAAACTTATCGTATGACTTTACTCTTTTCCAACAATGACATTGAAATTAGTTTGAAAATCATGCATGACTCTAAGAACAATAAATAATTTGTCCATCTTTTCGTCGATATAAAGCCTCCCTATCCTGCCCATATCCATCACCCTCCCACCCAAGATGCCGGACTCATCGATGTTTTCACACCAAATAATATTTAATCTTTTTCTGGTACAGAAAAATCAATTTTTCTCACTACGTGGATGACGCGTTCCAAATTAAAACTTGCATGGTGTATTATTTTGCACGCAATATACAAATTTAAAAAGAAAAATGGTTCTGACAATTGTTACATAATAAGAACGAGATTATACATGCATACTATTACTTTCTAGGCATTCGGATTCAGGGGAGCTTATAATTTAGTCCCTAAAATACTGTTTTAAACATGCAACTAATCCTGCTTAATTAATTTTCAAACCTAATTAATTAAGGATGGTGATGGCTGGTTTGCAACAACCACGCCTTACAAGAATTATTAATATTTTGAAAGACAACCACCGTTTGGTCAGAATTGAAGACTTCATCTGAACGTCTTAAATTACCCAAGATTAAGTTTAAAATGTAAAACTAAAGAGTTAAATACACGAGAGTAAAAATGAGATTTAGTTACCCACAAATCTAGAGGGAGAAATGGGATTGGTATTTGTCCTTGTCGACAATACAATACAAGAAAGTCAACAACCAAGACAAACGCAATTGGGCTTGAATATTCCAAGTTTGCAACTTGGCAGGAGTGACTGTCAGAAAGCTGTGGGGATAAATACAATAAAGAAAGGCCGCCTCAAGAACGAGTCCACATTATACAAACAAACGCGGCTCTGAGTCTTCTCACTCATCCATCCCAATTCTCTCTCTGTTTTGTCTTCTTCCATGTTCTGCCTCCCATTCTAAACTTCCAATTAGTCTCCCTTCCGTGCTACCTCTGCAAAAATTTTGGTCTGGTCAACGGCTCAAATCCAGGAGCTCAAGGTTCATGTTCATGGATCTTTGCCTTCATGGGAAGATTGCTTATATCCTAGCCTGCTCTGTTTCCTCTTGTGTGGGTGTCACTTATCAGAGCTTTCAATGAGAATTCCTCTGCTTTCATGGCTATTCTTAGTGCCCATTTACTATGTTTCACTCAGCTTCCATGTATTTGTGGTATCTAGCCAATGTCCAATCGATCAGAAATCTTTGTTGCTTAAATTGAAGAACAGCCTCAATTTTTCCTCTACATCATCTACAAAACTTGCACAGTGGAAAAATGGCTCAGATTACTGCGTTTGGGAAGGTGTGTCCTGCAAAAATGGCTGTGTTTCTCATCTCGACTTAAGCAGCGAGTCTATTTCAGGAGGACTTAATAATTCAAGTGCTCTTTTTGGTCTGCAGTACATCGAGAACCTGAATTTGGCTTACAATAACTTCAACAATACTCAGATTCCATCCGAGTTCGACAAGCTGACCCGTTTGAGTTATCTGAACCTGTCAAATGCTGGTTTTGTGGGGCAGATTCCAATTGAGATTTCACACCTGGCAAGGTTGGTAACTCTTGATTTATCTAGTGCCCCTTACTTATCTGTAATAACTCCGAAACTTGAGATCTCAAATTTGAGTTTGCTCATTCGGAACCTTTCGGAGCTTATTGAACTTTATCTTGATGGTGTGAGCGTATCAGCACAGGGAACTGAGTGGTGCGAAGCAATATCGTCTTCACTGCCAAAGTTGAAGGTGCTGAGTGTAAAATTGTTATAGAAGATATTGTGCCGGAATAAATAATTCTATTGATTGTACAACGTTCTTATACAGGGAGAATACAA